ATATCCGAGATCAACCGTTGTGTGGCCAAATTTACGATTTTAGAACAGTCCAACGAAGGTTCCAATATGCCAGCGAGGAAGAGTCACTCGAAAGGACGCACCGCGAGGACTCCCGCAGTCGTTGAAAAGGCTCAAGCGCTGATTTCAAATGACCGTGTCACAAAAGAAGTGTATTTGTGCGTTATAATGGAAGCCGTGGATGGAAACTGTGGCGTCCGGAAAACCGTATGTTTTTCAACAGAACGGTGCACTCATACAAGTCATTTGATTCAAAATTGGCTCTCAGACAATGTCGATATGTTTTGGTCCAAGGAATTCTGGCCTCCCAACAGTCCATATTTAAATCCTTTAAACTACTACGTATGGCGCGTAGTTGAAAGGGTCACTAACAAGTCTCGCGGCATCCTAATGTGACGTCATTAAGGATCGCTATTGAGGCAGCATTCGTCGACATAAACAGCGTTATATTACGGCGTGCGTGCGAACGATTCAGACCGAAAATAGAGGCTGTTATTCAAGCTAATGGGGAATATATCGAATAATCATGCTTTATAGAGATCCCCCAAGTGCCACGTAAAAGGATATTTTGTAATATTTAATTTTTCATTAAAAACATTTTGTTTAAAGAAATTGTTCGATTTGTTCGGATTTTGGTGACGCATCTGTACATATACTTGGCTAATATACCTCGCGATATGAAAATTTTCGATCGTTATATGAGACGTTCCATGAAAACGTAGCTAAATATTAATCCGATCATTACCTCGCATCAAAGAGCTTGAATTCACGATCACATATATCTTTAGCGCGATGATAGGTATTATAAATTCCAATTTGCACATTCCGGAATTCCTTGTTGCACCAATAAAAATGATGGAAATGTGTGCTCGCCAATAAGTACCACATATTAAATATATATTAGGTGTACAAATTAATTCTCAGTCTCTACCTCTCAGCGATCTCAGAACCCGTTTAAGTTGAACTCCCCCCCCCCCCCCCCAAGTAATTTTGAAGTGCCATCTTTTAGCTTTAAAATGAGGTGTATATACACTGCCAGTCAAAAATCTTTGGATGTCATGCATACTTACGGCATAAGGATAAAAATGTTTTTATTAAAATGTTTTAAACAAACATGGATATTCGATCAAAACCAAAGAAAACATTATATTTATTTATAAAGTATAAGAAACAGAACAAAACAGTATCATTTGACCCTTTTGAATCTTTGGAAAAAGCATTTAGTTGACAAGAGTGATTTCAATTTTCATTCCGCTTGACACTGTATCTTTGTCTGTGTGTTTGCAAATATTTCCACTATGTTTCTTTTGTGTCATCGTAATGTGAAAACAATTGTAGAAACTTGAAAGGCAAGGATTTAATAACAAGGTATGTAGTACTCTAGTATTAATATAAGTTTTTATTTTTTATTGAATTGAAAAAAAAATATTTGTGTGACTTTTTTTTATAAGAGATGGCTCTGCGATTGTGAACAAATGTGGATCGAGAGACCAGGGTCGTAATCAATACATACTACAATAATGATGATCTTTCTATTCGTAACATTGCCTCAAAACTGAAGATCCCCTAGTCCACTGTTGCATACATCATCAAGCGTTTTCGTGAAATTGGAAATTTGGAACCAAGTGCCAAATGTCGCACGACACTCGAGCGACATTTGATCTGCACGTAGGGCGGTGAGGTGAGGGGGACAGCGGAAGGCGGAGGCGATTCGAAAATCAGCCGAAAGTTACATACACTTTATGTATGTTCACTTTGTACCTTTAATTAATAATATATCAGTTACTTTTCGTGATAATATATTATTGTTAGATAAAAAGATTTTTTGACTATCTTTTTTTGAACATGGCTTGACCTTTTCATTTTTATGATATGATTTTTTTCGGATAAATCTATCATGCTACTCTCCAAACGAGATAGACAGCGAAATGCTCCTATAATTTAAGCAGATTTCAACTTAGGCCACGACAAGCAGATATCTGTAACAACTATTAAAAGAAGACTTAGATCAGCTGGTCTCTTTGGTAGAGTTGCTGTACAGAAATCACTTCTTCGTCCAGTAAATAAAAAGAAAATATTGCAATTTTTTAAAAAGATTTTTAAAAAGTGTTATGGACGGTTGAGTCCAAATTTGAAATATTTGACAGCAAAAGAAGAATATACGACGTTCGGACGTCGGAACGAAAAAATGATGCTCAACTGCATTACACCAACTGTCAAACATGGTGAAGGAAACCGTAATGGTTTGGGAAGCATTTTCCTACTATAGAGTGAGTGCTCTGTATAGAATTAACGGAATCTTGATCAGAAAAGATACCACAAAATTCTTGTTCATCACGCAGTTCCTACAGGAAAAGACTGATCGACTGGGGATTCATTATATAGCAAGATAATGATCTGAAACACACCTCAAAACTTTGCAAGAATTTCTTAATGAAGAAAAAAGGAGAGAATATACTAAAATTATTGGAATGGCCACCAC